ATCACCACGACTACCACCACTAAAACACAACTATTTACAATCTGATTACAACACATCCACCAAATGTCCCTGCTGTCGACGACACCAGTTGTCGCTGCCCAACTCATCCAGGGTTTGTTTGATTTAGGCATTCGATTCCAATTTTTGACTAGCGATCTGAAGGACTACTAATCCCTAATAACTTCTTCCCAACAAAATTGAGGACTAGAAGAACAACCAACTGATAAATGCTCTGACCAAGAATATTCCTCCACATGATCCTGGTAATGAAACCTTTAGTCCTCATAACATGAGGCCGTTTCATCAATCCTTCATGTGGCGGTTCAATGGTCAGTGCAAGTGCACCTTAAGTATCCATAATCAGATTGACCTAAAGCAATCGTACAGCTGTAAGGAGAGCTGATCCTGAAATTGATAGCAATAGTTGTATGCAGCGGCGGCGGGTGCACCATTGGGAACGACACAGCCTCGGCGCCATGTTCGACGCCGCTGGGAATGACGGACTCCGCACAGTGCCGCTACTATAGCGACTTCATCACTTATTGAAACGGTGACGTTTTCCGATGGTGCCTTCTCATCTTCCGGTGGCATCGTTAAATGAAGGAGAAAGTAGAGAGAATGAGAGGAGAGAGAGAAGGGAGGGGGGAGTAGAGAGCGAAAAATTAGGGTTAGGGGTTTTATATATTACCTGATATTTGAATAATGAAACTTGGTCCTTAATTTTTGAATTCCAATCTTCAAACATAATTTCCTCTAGAGGAAATTACACGGCTTCAGGCATTTAAAGTTCACTGTGCAAATGTCAGTAGCCAAATTTTTTTAATCACATTTCAGGTAATTAAAAATTTAAAACCCTAATTTTCCATTTTCCCCTTCCCCCGTCTCTCTTGCCTCTCTCTCCTTCATCTCATCGCTCCCATCTCCCTTTTCGCGATCACAGTCCTTTCTCTAAAAAATCAGTCCCCCTCGAAGAGAATCTCTTGTTTTGTTCGGCGGCGCTCTGTTACACAGCGCCGCCGCCATTTTATGCACTAAGTAAATCGATGTCCTGCACTTGAAAGGGCGAGTAACAGCCTTCACATTGATAATAAAATAATGTTTAAGATCCGAGGCTCGAATATGATGAAAGAGATTGGGTGTCGTCTAGATGGTGAGGTTGCTAGTGATTTTGATCCCAAAATCGCGATGGTGGTGGTTGTTAGAACGGGGAAGCTGCTGAGACACCGTCGCGTTTTTGTCTTCCTTTCCTTTTGTAGGTTTGTTGAGATTTTTTGTTTTGTCTATTGTTGCATAGGCACATCTTGGTAAACATTTCTGCACGGAGCACGAAAGATCGAAGGCCATGGCGGACAAAATTACTTTGGAAGTTGCATTTGAGGGTTTGCCGATAATGCTGATTTATCCAAGAGCCATATATGGTCCTGGCAAAGTGACAAATGGAGATTTTGTTGGTGTTGTGGCACTGGCGGCAACGAGTTTTGTTGGTGGTGTGTTTGGCATCCACGGGGGTGGAGGTTTCGCTGCGAACGCAGCGTCACGATGTTGTTGTGATGTGGTGGTGTGTGGCATCAACGGGGATGGAGGTGGTGGCGATGATGTCTATGTTGTTGAGGGGACATGGATGGTGGTGGATTTGGTTGTGGGTTTGGGATTTTTTTTTGTTGGATCTGGTGGTGACAATTTTGTTGGTGGGGATGCCGTGGAATGGCTGCTTTCATTGGTGGTGGTGGTGGTGGCGGCGGCGTTGGTGCTGTTGTTGTGGTGCCGAGGTGAGGGTGGTCGCAAGTGGCAGTGGTATGTGACCCACTATTTGGCGTATGTGACCAAAATTCGGTAATATGTGACTAAAAATATACTTCGTGACCAACCATTTTGTTATCTCTGACCTAAAAATTATATAATATGTGATCGAAAAAAATCCGTGACCAACTAATTTTGAAATATGTGACCATGTGACCTATAAATTTTGATTTGTGACCAACTAATTTTGAAATCTGTGACCAACGAGTTACTTGTAACCTACAAAAATTTTTAGCCGTGACCATAAAATAATCCGTGACGTATAAAAATTATTATTTGTGACTGAAAAATAATATGTGACTATCTAAATTGTGAATCTGTGGCCATATTGTATAAATTGCCGAAATTGGAGCAGTCGTCGAAATAAAGCTACGACGAAATGGTCACCAGAAT